AAGCAGTAAATTTTATTCCTTGAACACCTACGAACGGTTAGTTACCGTAACAAATAAACGGGGAAAAAATAAACCGAGAAACGACCGTTTGAATGTTATCGAATCATCTTCCTTATTTCCTATACGATTATGCAAATGCCGCTCGACGTATTGTTATTTTATATAGGCGCATCTCGTCGCAGGGTCGAGAAATATTCTGCATTTTAATGTCGCGGTCGGGCCGCTTACAAATTCGAATTCGAAACCGGTCAACGTTCGCTTTCTATGCGCCCAAAGGGCCTTCTAGCGCTCACCGAAATTCTCGAATGCCTGGGCTGTCGCTCCACCCTAAGGTAATATAAGTAATGAAATTAGAAAGTTTTGAAGTCTCCTATATGGTGTGTAATTTGCTCCATATTCGTGTCGAAGTGAAATATGTGCAGGAATGCGTTCACCTCTTCTATGCTATTAATGATGGTCTCTAGATAATTGATTTTTTAAATACAAAAATGACTCCTAAGTAGAACAATAAGTCTCATAGATAGAGCAATGATTTTACTAGATATGTAGGAAAAAGGTCTCATATGGATAAAAACATGACACACCTAGATAGGAAACTGAGTTTCCTAAGTAGAAAAATGACTCTCATAGATATAGAAATGACTTTAATAGATAGGAAATGAGTCTCCTAGATAAAAAAGTACCTTCCTAGATAATAACATGTACATATGTAGGTACTGCATAGAAAATGAGTCTTCTAGATATGAAAAAGACTCTTCTATAGACAAAATCGACTGTTCGAGATATTAATCCACAAATTAGTCAATATCGCTGAATTTATACCGTCTCATAAAAAGGCCACAAATGGGTATCTATTATTTTTCATCTCTGGCATTAATCTAATCATTTTTAATCGCACCTACACAATTACGGGCGCCTAATTAATTTGTTAAATTTCCTGATGCGTCGGCAGTAACGCGGTGCTGTAGAAATTGATTAATCCAAATTTATCTGGTGTCAAAATCTGAATGTAATCGTTTACATTAACGATGCGCCCGTCGATTATAATCCGAGCCGTAAAAATGGCGAGTTTTTGCCGGTTATTCCGGGAATATCGTGTATCACATAAAAATATTCCTTCTCGGTAATCGCGCCGCCTAAATTTCCCAGGGAAAAACTTCTTGTATATTTCAGGTTCAATTTCACGGTAATTTTTTATTGTGCTTCGCATACGTGCCGTATACTTGTATAACAAAGAAAATAACGGGTCCCTGAACCTGCCTTATTATAATAAACATTTCGTTTAATATTATACTTCGTTCGACTTCAGGAGATTGCAAATATGTAAAGCTTTTGGAAGCTTCAATAAATAATTTAAGAAGTAGGCATTACTAAATTATTGCACTATTGGGCCTATTGTTAAATACCCTGTATACAGAGTGGCACAATTAAATTAAAATAAACATTACTATTACTTAATGTTAAAAGTTTTACAATTACCAGATTTTTCATTGAGTGTCTCTTGCTGTCTTTTGCATAATAAAAAATTAAATCTGATGTCGAACGGAGTATAAGGAATTCTATTGCTTAAAATTACGGAACCCGTTTACTTACTAAATAAAATAACACGAGAGGAAAGTGATAAAGCGTCGGAATGCTGCTGTATTTCATACAAATATTCGCTATTGTAATCGGGGTCAAGGGCGACCCCGAAAATTCGGTATATCAAAACGCACGTGGTGTAGATACGATTGTGTTTAAATTGATAAAAAAAATGCTGCGGAATATACATTTATATTATTCGCCTACGCGCATTCGTTAGTAAACAAACTTTCTCGAACTAAATTATTTGCTAGCGATTCGGGAAACATGACCTCTCGGGTGGATCGCTAATTAAACTGCGAATCCCGCCGGTTAATTTACCAACACACTCTCGACTTTGAGCGAAAATTTCACCCGTTTAAAACAGCGCAAAAGCCGTTTAAGTTCTTTTAAAAGAATCGGCCTCCGGGGTGTTTTTTTTTTCTTTTCGTTCTCCGCCGCAGTGCCAATTCTGCACTAGTTTTTATTCCTAACCCGGCCATGTTCGGCTAGGTCAACGCCCTATCTCGTGATGATGGGCCCTTTAGGCGCATCGTTTAATGTAATAAAACTAGCGAGAATGCGACTAGTTTTACATGCATATCTACAAATACAGATATCGACGCGACATTGGGGTTTCGGCGTAAAACAATCTGCTTAGCACGAAATCAATAGTCCTTTATAGTGCCTTTAGAGGAAGCAAGAGTTACCCAATTTCGGCGAAAACGGGCGCAGGTCTTTGCAATTTGATTTATTATTCATTTGAGGTTAATTCGATATTCATCGTGTATGATAACAATCGAAATGTGAAAGAAACAGGTGAATGAAATTATTGAATGTGGGAAAGAATAATTTTTAAGTATTTATTTTTATCGTTAGGTACAGTCGACACTTCCTCAATCGTTTACAAAACAGCCGGCGCCTAATGAGGTCCGTTTTTGCCGAAAAAGTAGCTATATTTTCGTTGATAAAAATTCCCATTTTTAGCATAACTATAGCAATTCCGCTCTGGTTTGTTTGGGTTGACGACCTTTCGTGTAGTTTGGCGTATTTTTACAATCTATTTTCGGAATAAATAAAGAGAAAAGGCTCCACAACAATGCCAGTTTAGTGCGGGACTATACATAGCGTTTTGACGGGAGCGTTTTAACCGGACCGGTTTCGCGGGATAGATAGAACACATTGTTTTAAATTAGATCGTCTATACATGTGCGGTGCGTTTGCGGCAACCGGACTCAACCGCGTCTTGCTGCGGTTTAGCGGGTCCCTTTTAAAAACGCATATCGACAAGAACACATTCATTTCAATTGTAGCGTCTATACACAGTCCGGTTGAACGGGATCATTATACAGAAAATTTGGTTATTTGAATATAGTATTTTGGATTTGTTGTATATTTTGTTGAATAATTATTGTATTGGTTATATTCGACACTGATAAATTCATTCAGTACGTCGAAGAACATGAAACGCATGAAAATGATGAATGTTGTATTTTCTTTCTGTTTTTTAAGTAAGCCAGTAGCTTCAAGGGCGCTAATAATTTTAATATTTGATTAAATTTTCATCAAACCATCTACTTTCTATCTGAATTCTACAAAGAATTGACTAAGTCGCATCCTTTTTAGCGGGATAGACAATGGATGTATCTACCGATGAAATAAAATGCGGCTGAACGGGTCCCGTTTAACCGCTCCCGTCAAAACGCAATGTATAGTCCCGCACTTAGTGCGGTCGAAATATGTTTGTATTATTATTGGCGATTTTTAAACGTTGGCCGTGAATTTGACGATACAAAAACTGGTTTCGAAAACACGGTAGATTTGTTTGTGGTAGTCCTTTTACATCGAATTTAAACCGAATAATTACATAAATAAAACAGTTAAATAACCGCAACTGGATAATACATTGGTTCGGTTAATATAATAACGAACTGTTTGTTTATTGAAAACTTCTATTAGGTGTTATGCAAATTAGTTGATATTTACACATGCTAAAATGTTTATTTCCTTGTCATCCGATTAAGTAAATATCAGATTATAATCTGGTTTGTTTGATATCCTTTTTACGGACCGACAAAACGAGTTAAAAGTGCGTAGCAAAAATTTTCTACGCACGCATAAATTTATTATTTGTAGCCGTATTTACCCGTATTAATATTTTAATTACCCGTTATTAATATACCGTACCCGTTAATAATATTTTCCACGATGTTCACACAGTTTTTTTTTCAACTTTAATTGAGTTGTATAGCAATTTTTCTGATGCTTATATCGAAATATGTTACCGAAAATAAATTAATATTTTTCATCGCAATCTCACTGTTGCAACATCAGGTCACCAATGTTTACGTCATGTTTTCCGTTGATTTTCGATAATAAAATGCACTAAATAAAATAATGCAACTTCCAGTTACGTCCAATACATTAACCTTTTTGCTGTAATGCAGTTTGTGATTGCGATTATCACGTTATCTGTGGGAAAAAAAGCATCAAATTTCGATTCTCGGCGCATTTCCTCGAGTGCAATAACTCTGAGTAGAGAGCATTTTCCCTCTTTCCCCCTATGCTTTCAGATGGCAAGTCAATCAACCAGGCGCAGGGGAAGCTCTATATTTAATTAGCAACACCTGAAAGTTTCCGCGGTGCATTAAAGAATCACCTGGGGGCCGCAGTGTCGAGGACCTTTCGATATAATCGGGGAGTTTTTCCCACTGAAAAGGGAACATTCTATATCTAGATTTTTACATAATGGAGAGTCCTTTGATGGGTTTTTTTGGTACTTTGAAAAAGTGATTTATGGAGATTATAAAGGTTGAGCTTTGGGAACTTTAGGGAAAGAGCTTTTTCTTATTTCTTACTAACGTGAATAAGATGCGAGTTAATTCAAACGTTACCTACGTTTTTTTGAGATTTAGGAAATTTATAGAAAGAGATTTTTCATATTTCTACTTAAATGCGAGTTCGGATTTAAAGTTCAAACGTTGCTAGCGCTTTTTAAGCTTTAGAATGTTTCTAGAAAGAGCTTTCTCTTGTTTCATACCAACTTCAATGAGACGAGAGTTAATTAGTGTTTAAACGTTATCGGCGTTTTTTTTGAGCTTTAGAAACTTTACAGGAAGAGTTTTTTATTATTTCTCAACAACTTGAATAAGATGAGAGTTCCGTTAATTATTATAGTTCAAATGTTGCCTGTGCTTTTTTTAAGCTTTAGAAACTTTGTAGAAGGAGCTTTTCTTGTTTCATACCAAACTTGAATGAAATGAGAATTAATTGTTTTTTAAACGTTATCTGTGTTTTTTTAGCTTTATAGAAACTTTAAAATTATATTGTTTAACAATGCAATTATTCTTCAAATATTTCTATAAAAAGAAACTATTCAAAACTATTTGAAAACAGAATAATTTAATTTAGAAGTGTCGCATAATGAATGGTAACTTTACCTGTTGCAAATCGTACATTTCGAACGCAATCAACGAGTACCCCTTCATCGTGGTCAATCCTCTAATCGCGCGCAAATTGGGAAACATCCCGCCGATGGACGTCAACCAATGCATGTTGAAGAACCCCAAGAACCCGCTGATCTCCACCAAATCGGGAAACGCTATGGACCGGATCTCCGGTCCCATGTCGCGGTACGGATCGGCCACGATCAGGTCCCCGTACACGTGGGTGCAATTCTCCAGCATCGGCAGCCCCTCCGGCTTGTTGATCAGCCTACCGGGGCACACGCGGCTCGCGACGCGCGTCCCCCACACCGCCAGCATTACGAACAGAAGACACCGGGACATCGTGAGGGCGACGGGGCGCTCCTTGACGCTGGCATACTTGCCGGCACGACGTTCGACCGAAAACTGAGCCGGTGGACGCTGAAACTCGAATAGTCGAAGGCGCGGAATTGGAATTGAATCGGCTTCGAAGGCGGAGCGCCGGCGGTTGGTTTACGCTGCGAAGTTGATTGATGCTCCTTGAACCTGGCCGGATAAACCAACGTGCTGCGCTATGCCGATGGAATATCGCTGGATACGCCAGGCGTCCCTTTTGGACTACTGCTCCTCGTGGATCGGGGGCCCTTTTTATTATAATAGCTCATACTACTGCTCCTCGTGGGTCCTTTTTGTTAGCGCATAAAAACAAAAATGATTGTGTGTGACTTTCGTCTCTTAGAAAAATCTGGACTTGACCGATGTAGACTCACGAAAACACACTGAAATATGATTTTTATAATTCGTTCAAATTGTACAATAATTTATCGGTGACAACCAGAAATCTACCCATTTAAAAAGAAGTCAAACGAAATAACAAAGAACCTGTATTAGTTCATTACTATCAAACAAGAGGCAATGCTATCGGTAAATGGAATATTTATTTATTTATAGGTATATTTATGTACGTATCTATAATCTTGTAACATTTTAATATTTTTAGATGCTTCTCTATGGAATCTCAGTAGTTTGCTGTATTTACACTGATAACTTTATTTGATAATGAAAAGTATAATCTGAAACGAAAGTACAGCAACAGTAAAGTATTTTTTCCGAGAAACCCTTTAAATCTTGAATACATGGCAACGTGTCGTATGTTTATAGCTACTCCTTCAATTATCGCTGTCGTTGAGATTAGGATGCGATGTTGCCAATAGTCCACGAATTTCGTATTTTTACCATCAAGTTAAAATTTGAAACTGCTTATACTGCTTTTAAGTGTATGTACTTGTGAAAAAGCTCTACTTGCTTTCTTGATACCTGTTATACTATCAATTTCCAATCGATTGGACGTTTGTGAATTTTGTGATAGATAATAGGGTATTCCCAGAGCGAAGATGGGAATGCATGGCAACGCTGTATTTTCCTTAGTGCTTTTTTACTATACTATACAATACACTATACTACCAACTTATCGGCACATTCCTCATTTATCTCTTCAAGTTCTCTGATACATACACGCGTAATAAGAAAGAAACTCGGCGAGTTTATTATTTCAGTTGCGTTGTTGCGTTAATAAAATCACCAAGACTAGCAGAGGTCAGTATAATTATCACATAAATTTATAGGTCAATAGGTGTTAAATAGTTTAAATAAAGTATATCGACTCCTTTTATTGCTTATTAATTCGTTAAATATTCGGTGAAGTACCGGCCGACATATTGCTTTTTACATGCGAAAATTCTATTTTTATCGACGTCCACGTGGTATAGGTTATGTTTCTGCTACTTTTCCGCCACGTTGTCACGTTTATAATGCGGAAAACTCACTCTTATCGCATCTATTCTTTGTACTTTGTAGGACTATGCCTTCTCCCATAAGCTTCGGAATACTTACTGGTAAGTAGGCAACCCGGTTTACAATTTGTACAATTCTAATTAACACAAACATTACAGTCAGCGACAGCTCTTATGCTGTTAACAGCAAGGATTTGTCAGGTCCTAAACTGAAAGAAGAAATATTTAAGGAGTTTCCTTCGGCCGAAATAACCAGAATAAAAATCGTACCGGACGATTTGCATAAAATTAAGGCGACTCTTACAGAATGGTGCGACATGAAAATCAATATAATATTCACAACAGGTAATCTACGACACATTTTTGACGCATTACCTTTCAAATAACCGCTTTCAAGGCGGCACCGGATTCTCCAGCAGAGACGTCACGCCCGAAGCTACGCTAGCAGTGGTGCAAAAACAAGCACCTGGTTTAACCATCGCCATGATCACCAATAGCCTGAAGATCACGCCGATGGCGATGCTCTCCAGGCCCGGGTGCGGCATTAGAGACACCACGTTAATAATAAACCTGCCGGGAAGCCCCAAAGCGGTTTCGGAATGCTTCGGCGTCATCAAGGAAGCCCTGCCTCACGCAGTGGAGCTCCTAACCGATCAGAAGGACTCGGTGATTTCTACTCACGGTGCTGTCCAAAGCCACTCGAGAGCGTCTGTTGTCCCAACCACCAGCCCCAGTAAGGTAATTTATAGAATTAACAGCTTCCACTTGTTCTAAAATAAACAGATGATTTAGAAATAACAGCTGCGAAGGTACTACTCAATACGAATTTGTCTTCATTTTGCTAGGTGCAATTGAAAGCTGCATTAAGAGATCGAGAATCCCGCTACCCTATGATGGATATTCAAGTCGCTTCTGAGATTATTAACAATATTTGTAAAAACGACAAGATAACCACAGAAATGGTGCCGTTTGAGAGTTCGCTCAATCGAGTTTTAGCAGAGGATATTCATGCTAGCGAACCAATTCCGTCGTTTGCAGCTTCGATTAAAGACGGTTACGCTGTTAAATCGAGCGACGGCGCGGGAATACGTGTTGTAAAGAAAGTCGCAGCTGCAGGAGATGGCGTATGTATCTTCCGAAAAGCTCATTAGATTTGGAATTAATGGAGTTTGTAACGTTGCAGCCGATTGATGAGGTTCTGCAGCCAGGCGAAGCGATAAGAATATCAACGGGAGCTCCAATTCCTGCGGGAGCTGACGCGGTGGTCCAAGTGGAAGATACCGCAGTAGTTGAATGTTCGATTGATGGTGCCGAAGAAATTAAAGTGGATATCAAAAGAGCTCCAAAACCCAATGATGACATAAGGTGAGCGAAACATTTTCGAATACATTTTTGTGGAATAATGATTTTTTTAGAGCAATTGGAAGGGACGTGGCTACGAATTCTTTGGTTTTAAATAAAGGCAAATGTATCAAACCCTTCCATTTAGGAGTTTTAGCCATGTTAGGAAAAACTAATGTTGAAGTTTATAAGTAAGTTGAATTAGTCAGTTCCCTAAAAATTCCCTCTCTTACTGTAATGCTTTTTTTTTCTAGACGCCCTTCTGTAGGAATAATATCAACTGGCAATGAACTATGCGAACCCGGAGAACAACTAGCCCCTGGAAAAATCAGAGATTCAAATAGATATACCTTGATTAATTTGCTGAAAAATTATCATTATGAATCAAACGATTGCGGCATAGTTAAAGACAAGTACCTAAGTAAATCTGACGTATTTGATCCTTTCTTTAATGCAGTAATTTTTAGTCCTGACGCTGTAAAGCAAGCTCTAGAAAAGAGTTTTACTCGTAACGATGTTATTATAACGAGTGGTGGAGTCTCAATGGGCGAATTCGACGTGTTGAAACGGGTCCTCGTTGAGGATTTTGAAGCTACTATACATTTTGCTAGGCTGAACATGAAACCCGGGTAAGCCAATATTCGGAGCTTGAAAGTTTTCAATGATTGTTATTTATCTATATTATAGGAAACCCACAACCTTTGCGACACTTATGTATAATGGAGAGAGGAAAATGGTGTTTGGTTTACCGGGTAATCCAGCCTCCTGTGGAGTAACTTGTCTATTATTCGTTATTCCTGCTCTACGCCTAATGGAACAATCTATCGATAATAGTTTCCCTTTTATTGAAATACCAGCAAGTAAATTAAAAGTAAGTTGAAATTTTGTTTACGTTCTAAATGCGTTGGACCCAAAAAAAGAAGCTATAATTTTACATACAAGTATTTCAATGTTCTATTAGACATTTATTGTAATATTACAATAAAATTTTATTATTTTTTCAGGACGGACCTTATATTAATAATGATAATCGTCCAGAGTTCCGGCGGGTTAAAGTAAACTGCGATTTGTCTGTAACTACCACTGGAGATCAAATAAGCAGCAGATTAAATAGTTTAGTAGGAGCAAACGGATTGCTTCTTCTTGACCCAGGAGCAGGGGCTAAAACATCAGACGAGTTCATAACAATATTATTTGATGATTTGAATGTTGAATTGATGGAATGAAAATTGGTTTGTTTTGTTCTGTAAATATGTATAATGTAAATAAGGTATACGGGGTGTTGCTATTTAAAAAATAAGAAAACTAACAGTTATTCGTTTTAAACCAATGGGTCCTGTAGGTTTAAATGTTCAAAGCGTTTACATAAGTCACGAAAACTCCAATGTATTTATGTTAATATTTAATGACTTGTAAAAAAGCGGTCCCTAATTAATACATTGTTAAATATAAATAAATCGTTAATAATATAATACTGAGTTCATTCGATCCAACCAATATAATATGTACATTACAACATCGTTTAATACGACAATTTAAACGATTTTCAAGCACTCCAAACAACCGTACCATTGCTTATCCTCCAAATTGTAATTCGCCTTCGGATTCCTCGTCGTCAAGGCGATATCGAGCATTCGAAGAGCCCTCGCTGATAAAACCACCGGCTGGAACTCCAAGTGACCGCTAATATCGACAGACGTCTCCGGTTGCTCCGCAGGACTGCAACAAACCAACGATTACAATCGACCATCGAAACGATGGCATCGCAGTAACATTACTTCGACATTTTAGGCGCCGCGAACAGCAACTCCGGCATAACGCCCTGCGGATTGATCGCTATCACCTTGATGCCCAGCGGCGCCAGTTCCTGCCTCAGCGCCCTGCTGGCCCCTTCCACGGCGTACCGGCTGGCGAGGTACGCCACCAGCCCGGTCCCCAGGTACTCCGTCGCCCCGACGGTGATGATCCTGCCGCCGGCGTTGCGGAGGAGATTCTGGAACTTCCTGGCCGTCCGCAGGACGCCCACGACGTTGTTCTTGAACGTGGCGTCCCAGTGGGCGACGTCCTGCTGCTCCAGCTTCCCCCTGTAGCACACCCCGCTGGTGTTGATCACCGCCCAAATGCCTGCGGACAGAGCTGCTTGGTGGTTTTGCACTTGGGATAAATTGGATGGGTTTTACCGTCCTCTCCTGCCGGCAGGTGCGCCCTGATCAAATCGGCCGCTTCGTGGAGGAGATCCTCCCTGGTGACCTCCAGCGGGAGGGCGATCAGGACGCCCGGCGCGCTCGCGCTCTCCTTGTGCTTCTGCCAGGCGCGGATTATCCTCGCCGACGGGGAGTCCTCGCTGCTTCCCGACGAAGCGCCGTTCTTCAAACCGGCGAACACGCGGAAGCCTCTGTTCGCTAAATGGACGGCTATCTGTCAACCAAAATCAATTTTAATAAGTAGTTTTTTCGATGATATACATTCGAAAAAAGATGGGTACTTAAAATCCCGTGTATACACTTGGAAGACCTTCGTTGTGGTTTCTAATTTCTCGCTTGGGTGATCATCGATGTGTCATAGTCTAACTACTATATTCACACCTTGTTTTTTATGTTCTAAACGTATGCTGATACATTTTACAATTGCTTTAATAAACTGTGGTAAATTGGGCGCAAGAATATTTCCCTACATTTTGCCTACATTATTAAAATCTCTAGCCTCTTTTGCGCCCAATTTTCAAGCGTTCTCAAAGCAGTTTAGCTTTTGATTGGGTCGTGAGTTATTACCTGAAGGCCTATGGCATTGTCTGCGGACGTGACTAACACCGGTTTACCGGCGCCCGGGCAACCGCCGTCCGATAAATCGGAACTGCCGCCGCGTATTTTGCACAGGAGATACAGAAGAAGCGCCCCGGCGATGGAGAAGAGCGCCACCAATTGCAGGGCCAGTACTAGGGCTGTGTTTTCGTCCATAGCTGTTTCGCATCTGAAAAAAAAATCGAGATGGATTTTAACATTGTTTCGATTTTTCTCGACCTTGATGAGAATATCCCATGTTGAATAATGCATAGCCGTGAGAAGTATGCTGTTTTGATATTTCGATGACATAATCTTCGCTTGTGTTAATCGTTTATATACTTGACAATGAAGGAATACTGTTTTCATAATTATAATATTTAATTTAAGTAGTAGGAAGAGACCTTTAAATTGGAAATTGAAATTAATTTTTATGTAATTAATCATATCAAATATTTATTCCTGCGAAAGCTGGTGTTTTAATTCAATTAACGAGCGTTGAAAACACAACTTCACATGTGCAATTCCGCTCTTATTAAACACGAGAATCGCTTTTCTACCAGTTAAAAGATACAACGCAATATGATCGTAATTAAATCTGTTGTTAATAATAGCATTTCGCGATTTTCTCTAAATTAATTACAAGGATTATTACTGCATGTTGAAATTGAGACTTGCCCAATTAAATCGAGAACGTATACCTCACACAAAACTAAGCAGGAAGCTTATTTATCTGTTTTAAACTAAAAACGATCTGCATTTTTTAATTACTAGTCGCTCATCATCAGCTTTAGCAAAATAATCTTGCTAGTTGCAACAACGATGAATTAATTGGAGTAACAATTCGAAAAATGTTCGACTTTCAATGCAACTGCTCGGCTACTTTTGGCATGGTCTCCTTGAGATAAAGGCGTGCCCCATGAGGTCGCTGACACACAACTAAACCATACTATTTTTCTGCCATGTAAGAGAAGGAAGTTCGCTCTAATCAGTAAGAAAAACACCTGGGCAAATCAATTTGCCTACCTAGAGATCGGGATTGTTTGCGTTTGTAAATATTGCACACATGGTTCGGTTATGCACTCATTACGTTGCGTAAGGGACAATTTAATATACGCATATTTAATCGCTAATTAATCAACGCGAATTCCTAGCGGGAAGATTGCGCAAAAGTCGCGCTTAATTAACCTTTAATTTAGCAATAGGAATGTGTGCAGTTTACATAAACACGCGTTTGCATTATTTTCGTTCAATTACCGCTGGTTGTTACGAAAAAATTTCACCTCAATATAAACTTCTTGAGCGAAATATTAAATCGATAGTAACAGCATTTTATTACACGCTTATTTCGACCCAACGGTATTTTTAATGCGAGAAACGATACTACAATTCGCCTCGAGGTACGCTGAATATTTTCATGAAAATTATTATTTTACCTAGGTTTCCTTCAGCCAAATGCAAAGCTATATCTACGATCGCCTTGGCATATCGATGTTAACTGATTGAAGTACTAATTAATTACCCAATCTGAATAGCTAATGACCAAGGAATGCTAAAGAACCGAATTCATTAGGCGCTCGCTCGAGCGAGCACAACAATTATTTTGTAACTGTCCTTGTGCATGTGCTTGTTTTAAATTTAATATGGTTTTTATCGGTACATCCAATGGGCCTCGATGGCGATAAGGAACGAATTTACGCGGTAATGTTTTGATTTTTCCGCGGGAGACCTTCCTTATCCGGCGCTGGAATCTCCGATTTATCATCGACAGTATCGACACCGCACCTTTCTGCTAATATTTCCGTTTCTCTTATTGGTAAGTGCTCGATACGCGGTCGGTTTGTTGACCCTGATTTCCCTGCATCTGCAGCGACAGAAGACAGAACCGATATCTTCGCTGCTGCAATTTACTGCTGGCGATTATCCGCGAAATTTCGAAAAATTAAATTCGTTGGTACGATTACCTGCGGGCAAACATTCACTTATTGCTCACTGGCGACCTGCTGAATCCAAACTGGCGACTTTGAATTAAAACTTTTAATCACTAGTAAAATATTTTGTGTTAACGAGGCGTTTAGGTCTTTGTACGATAATATTTTCTTCGAGTCATTTTGGATGAAAACAGATTAGCAATGGAGCAAAAATGGGTGACTGGTAAATGATTAATTTAATAGAATGCGTTTAATGAGTGTTGTAATTAATGTTAAATTTGTTTTTCACGGCAGGATTTGGTTCTTCCTGTTGAAATCACTCATATTTTAAAACTTACAGGGTGTCGAAGATATGTTTCATTTTTAGTGAACTGTAACACTAGCAAATTATTAATAAATCACCTATAAACAATTTGAAGTTTATTTTTAATAAAAAATGTGCAGTATCGCCGAAAATGATTCGAAATATTGAAATAAAACCGAAAAAAATTATCGAAAAATTCGCAAAATGTTATTATTCGATTTTTAGTCACGCCTGAAAATGTGGAATATTCGACATTCCGAAAATTCGTTTTGGAAGTGTTACGAATTGTTAGATATCGCCATAACGACGTTACATTTGTGAATCAACGCAGGAAGGAGTCGACTATTATTCAAGCCATTATCTCTTTAATGCCTCTATTTTATAAATACCGAAAATTGTTTGATTTTTTTTCCATTCATTCCACATCGATCGATCGCCGCATGGATTTCTAATTTTAATCTTAACGCGCTTCATTTGCGCTTTCGTCCCACATAAAACAAAAAATTCATCAATCTCTATGAAAACTAGTGAAAGTTAGCCAATAAATAGGTACATAAATAATTAAATAAACGCGAGATGATACAAAAAATTACGCAGGCGGAAATACTCCAACACAATTTCTATTATTTTGCTATAATCAGACAAGTTTCATACTTTAAATTATTGTAGAAACTTACCAGAAACCACGAAAAATACTCAGTAAACAACAACCACACAAGGCTTATCCATGGTACATTCCTCAATTGCAGTATATAAGTATTTTCAAATTCTCACATACAACCACTTAATCCACCAACCAGAGCGGTAAATATAAATATTACTGGAGATATATGTCAATAGTCAACTGTGTCGTCTTCGATCAAGTCACTAAACTGTTAGCTGCATTAACAGCGAATGCGAATAGAATAATGTTCTCGCTTCGATTTCCCATGCAAGACCGGTCCGCGAACGGGCCGAGCACGAATAGCCTGGCCAGTGTTCGAATCTCGAATCTGAATGTATCGGCGATGGTCTGAGGCGTTCACCAGGTGGATATCTCATAGGCGGAGCGGAGGTGTTTCTTACCTGAATCTATTGTAGCTTCTAATCCCGGAGATATTTGAATTTTTCGAGAAACAAACCGCGTGGAATGCCCGGAAGTTTTTGAGTCCTTAGTAATCGATTGGCTGTTTTGATGATGTATGATAGGCTACAGTAAAGTAACTGTTGGAAGAATGTTGGTGGTGTTTCAGAAGCTTCTGGGAATGCCCGATAAATTAGTGGCTAAATGATGCAAGTTTCTAGCTTCTAATCGATGAGGGAGTTTGAATTTGTTTGGAAATTTTAGTAGATTGGCTGTTTGGCTGATGCAGAATAGGCCACAGTAAAATAAAATGTTTGTGAATCTGGGAATACCCTATAAATTAGTACCGAAATGCTACAAGTCGCGCATTAGAGCGAAAGTATAGTGGATAAAAAATAAATAAAAAAATGATATTTTCGCTCGTTCCAGTCGACCGAATTCCTTAACAATACCGGTAGCTTTTCCTTAGCAGGCCTGCATTGATATCTACAATTACGTTACACTTTCTTCAATTCGAAATTATTACACACTCCACAGATGCCGATTTACCTATAGGAAAGTAATGATTGCACCAGCGATTGGTCAATTTCACCATTTCGCTTTATTCCATTCAATTAATCGACGTACCGTAATGAAAGGAAGAAAAAAGAGTTTATATTTTCATTTTCTAAAAGGTTTTCGAATTGAAACTAACTTAGAAAACAATCCCGCGACCTACATAAATTCGCTTGGACCCAGCGTATGTATGTAAATTGTTCAATGATACACGTTCAGAATGCTAATTGCTATTTAGACAGGTCGGGTGTGCTTGTTACATAAAGCGAATCGAGACGTAATCGTGATTTTTTTTAATATCTATCATTGTAAGTATGCGCGTGTTTGATTCGCCGGGCACGTACTGAACACGAAATTACGGACTTAAAAAATTAACTCCTCGCAGTGGAGGTGGAGAAAAGAAAGCCGCATTCAGTCATACGTGATGGTTTACCCAAAGGTTTTGTTTTCAATACGACAATTGATGTTTTTCTCGGTTTTTATTGTTGTTGTAAATGGTCGATGACTGAATAGCTGAATGGTCGATGACCTATTAAAAAGATTAATAGTAACAGGAATATCAAAAAAACTCGTAAATAACCAATCATTTTGTATTAGGTGTGATAATTGGATTAATTTAATCGGTTTTTTAATGAATTTGAAATTTAATTACTTTTCTAATAGGCAACCAGTTTAACGCGTCGTTTAAAGTGTTGCCTACTCAGTGAAAGTAGCCGTTAATGACAGTATTGACGTGAAGATGGCAGCAGGTGTCACGAAAGCTCGTATTTACTTAAATTCCAAAGTTAAAATGGTGGCTTGTCAAATTTTCAGCACGTATGTAGGGCGGGGAGGTATCTATTCGATACGTGCTTGATTTTCCCGTGTCGAAAAATCGCCGTCGAGAAAACCCACCGTCGATTTCGAATTTCCAACGTTTCCCGTTTTCGAACGGTCGCTTAGATCGCAGTGTGCTCGTCCAGATTCGAATTTGTTTATTCAATTAGTGTAAGTGGTATGAATGTGCATCATGAAGGTAAACATTAGAGTGCTCCTCCGTTCCGTTCTTTATTCGCTGCTCGAGGTACGTTGATTTGTTTGTTAGTAGTTTGGAATGGTAAATATCGGGTATTGTCATTGTGTTTTTCGTATTAGGAACGTTTCGGATTTTCGTTTAATTTCATCGCAGTGTCCTTGTATTTAGGGCCTTGCTAATCAATGTGGGCCTGCCACTTTGTCTTCTCATCTCGTGTTGTCTTTACATAACAATGCGTAAGGCCTAATAAAATTTTATTGTCTGTGCTTTTGTCATTACTGGGCATTCGAAGGTAAACAAAACGCGACGATGAGGATAAAGAGAAATCGCTAATTTGACATGTCGTTTGTTAAAATATTACTTTCTAAAGCGAGACGAAAATATAGAATTTTAGCCTACTTTGATGTATTGTTCATAAAATAGTTATTATTCACCCACAAGGGGTTAGTTTGTGATACGAGCCGTAGACGAGTAAAATCATTTTAACAGTTCAATTACAATTAGTACATTTTTTATTAAAATAACTGCACAACTCAAAATATCTAGGCCAACGTAAGAAATTTTTGTTGCCTTAGTACCCCTAAAAGTAAGACGCAAATATGAAATTTTAACCTACTTTGATGTATTGTTTATAAGATTCACTAAGGGGTTATTTTATAACACGAGCCGTAGACGAGTAAAATAATTTTACCAGTTCATTTACAATTGGTTCGTTTTTGATTAAAGTAACTGTACAACTCGAAATCTAGGCCAGCGAACACATTTTTTGTTGCCTTAATACCCTTCGAAATCGTTAGGTAAAAAAATATATTGAATAGAACATATCCCCATTGATAAGGAACTCTTTTCACGAGGGAGAGTTGCATTATCCACTCTAAATTTCCTCTAAACGTTTACAAAATTCTAATAGCTTCAATTTTCTTGCTCGCTGAAAAGTTGGGCGAGTCGAAACTTGGAATACGAATATCCGATTGTCTGATTCACAATGGAAATTCGCGGGATCCTTTTACGAATAATTTTCATTCCGTCCGAAAGTCTTCTTATAATTTCGCGTTATTCGTCCGTCGCATTCTTATTATCATATAAATAACGTAACGTAATACGTACATGTTTTCATTTTTTTTCAATTGCCTATTGTTAATTGTTGACGATTGTTTCGGGTTGTGAATACATCAAACACGGGCTAATAATAAATCGTACTGTAACCGTTTTGTTGCAGGACCGAAGGAATATGGCGTGGAATTGAGGTAAAATGAAAATCAAGCAGGCCAAAATGCGGTCGATTCCCGTCAAGCAGGACCCGAAACTGCTGAAAAATCCCAACAAAAACCCGTCTGTCGCGAAAAAGAAGAAACTGTCTAGTCTTAGCCTTAACTCGCCCGTGCGCGATACGATTTCCGAAACCATTTCGTTCGTCATCAAGGGAAAACTCACGCCGATCAATCCTGTATTGGTCCACAAGAAAATCGATTCGATCGATAAGAAGAAAGCGGCGAAAGGCCGCAAGATCGACCAGAAAACCGCGAAAATCAAGAAGGAGGTTCTCAAGAGAAAATCAAAAGTTCAAATTAAAACTGCCAAAAATACAAGTGCCCAGAATATTTGTAAGAAGAAACCCGACAAAGTCGTAGTAAACGTAGTCTCGCCATCGCCAAAAGGTACTTCCAAAAGCCCCAACGAATCAAAACTCGCGAAAAACAAGCCCAAAGCGAAAGAAATCAAACCAAAGAGAATAGCTAAAATCGCGACGAAGGACAAAGCGAAATGCAAATCCCCGCAGAAAGCGGTTAAAAAGCAAACTAACGTTAAAAAACCCAACAAAGCGTTGATAGACGAAGATGAAATTAAAAAACAACAAACCATCGAAGCGCTACTGAAAGAAGTTAACGAAGAAATCAAACCCAGAAAATCAAAATTATCGAAACACAAAAGTGGCAAATCAAAGAAAAAGAAGGAACAAGACGAAGTCAAATCAGAGAAACCCCTCGACGCAGTCGAGAACGTCCTAACGAACCAAGATGTTCCTCCTGTCGTGCAAAAAGCCGTTAAATCGGAATTAATAGAAACGGAAACCGCTCCTAAAGCAGAACTCACGCAACCCGAGCCAGCTGAAGACACCGCAGAAATAAAAAAAGAACCGTTTTCCAGCGAGGAAAAGGACGAACCCCAGGAACAAGCGGTCAAGAAGAAATACAGAAAAATAAAAACCAAATCCAACGTAACTGTGATGAAGAAACGCGTACCTTCCAAAGGTAAAAACAAAGAAGACACCGTCTGTAAAACGAAGCTGTTCAAATTCTGGAACGGTCCGAAGAGACACCGAGTAGCCTCTTTAAACGCCCTAGCTAAAGTCCATTGCTTGTACGAGAACGAAACCAGAGGCAACATGTTGGATATGATAGACGAGCTATCCAAACTCCCTTACTCGGCCAAAAAAGACTCGTTAAAATCCAAAATCAAAGACGAAGACGACGATGAAGACGATGAAGAAGAGGAAGAAAACAACAGCGATGAATCCCCGCCTCCCACCAGAGTATTAAGATCAGCTCCCGGTTTACGAGGCGTGGGAAAACACTGGGAAATGCACGAAACCTCCAGCTCCGACGAAGACGACGTCGCCGCCGTCAAGCACAAACCACCGAAGCCCAAAACCGCCCCATCCAAACCGAAACAGCCCAAAGAGGAAACCGCCGAGAAGAAGCAGCGCAAGCCCAACGAGCCGGTGATGGACCTCAAGGACATGGTGGTCAGCAAGCGCATGGCCAGCCTCAACGCCAGCGCCATCCTGGCCGCCAGCTACTCGGCGGAGAAGCGGCCCGACAAGTGCGACAGCGACTCGTCGTCGAGCGCCGGCAACTCCTCGGAGGAGGAGTACTTCGCCCGTCTCGCCAAGGACATCAAGGAGGAGATCGACGAGAAGAAGGACGACGACGCCAAGTTGATCGAGGTGCGCGCGGCGCCCAACAAGAAAGTCGCCGTCATCCTCAACCAGGACACCGACGTGACCATAACGGGGGTGTACGTGAACAGCACCACCAGGTCCACGCACCACGAGGGCTACTGCAGCATCGCCGGCATGCAGTACAGGATATCGGCCACCAGCCATACGCAAACCGCCGCCACCGCCGTTGCCTCCGAAACCCTTCTGCAATCTTCCAGCAGCGGACCTGATAACGTAAGTGCTATACATGTCTCTAACCTTCCAGTTTTTATTATGCTTTGATTATTCGTGCTATTTGTTCATATTATGGAAAATTGAGTGTGGGAAAGAAGAGTTGAGAAGTATCCAAATTGTCTTAAGGTTTCTAACTGTTTAGCTTATTTATACACTTTGTATTTGGTCCATTATACTTGCGAATTGAATGGATACAATCTAGATTTGGAAGTATTCAAATTTGCACAATTGCAAATCAATTGATGAAGCCAAATTTGAATCTTACTGGAATTACTGAACCTATCCAATTTGTCTGAAGGTTTCTAACTGTTTAGCTTATTGATACACTTTGTATTTGGTCGATTATACTTGCGAATTGAATGGGTATAATCTAGATGTGGAAGTATTCAAATTTGCACAATTGCAAATCAATTGATGAAGCCAAATTTGAATCTTACTGGAATTACTGAACCTATCCAAATTGTCTTAAGGTTTCTAACTGTTTAGTTCTTTTATACGCTTTGTATTTGGTCCATTGTACTTGCGAATTGAATGGGTATATTTAAGATTTGGAAGTATCCAAATTTGCATGTTATTCTTCTGCACCATCGGCCAAAAACTGGTTTGTTTTCGACAGAGCAACAGCGATTCGATGCCGTCTTCGAAGTCCTACACTCCGTTGGACGCTTTGTCGAACATGCAGCCGCCGCCGGGGCCGGGCATCCAGCACGGGCACCCGGTGCAGCACATGGGACCGCCGCAGCACGTGCTGCCGCTGCCGCCGCACCAGCTATCGCCAGGTATTTAGCGCTTTTCGGTGAGAAAAACGGCCTTTTGCTTAACTCGTCTTTCGACAGGTCTGCGACACGGTTGCTCCAGCGCCTTCTCGTCGCCGAATTCGAACCCGGCCTATCACCATCCGCCGTTGCCCGGCGAGCCCGGCTTCGTTCACGGTGAGTTTCGTTTTTGATTTTTGTTTGATGGAATTTCCGTTTTTCGATGTTCACTTAGCTAATGAAGTGCACGTAACGCAATTGATATTCAGCGGTGCTCGGGGAATGACTTGCGTTCGATAGCAGGGCTTTTAACTTCCGCTGAAAAAAGAACTAAAAGGAGACTATAGGCGGTTGTTCAATGGGCAATTTCGCTGTAATAATAAAACTGCAGAGGTCACTGATTTAGTGATTTTTTACGATCAGAGGTTATGTTTTGATTGGGGAAAAGTAGTAAATTGTTTGTATCGACATTTCGGCGTTCTTATAGTTCATCTTCAGGATTAAAATTGCTATTTTTTCGAACTTTCCTGTGGACATATCCCACGAACTAGAGCTCACGCAGCGAGGGAGACCCCGGCCCGGTGCGAACCATTTTTAAATCGTAAACACTTGAATTTATTACCTTTCGAATGGCGGTAATTTTCGCGGGTTAACGCCGTTCGTGTGATAATTAACGTCGATCATTAGGCGAAGCGTTCGGTCTTGTCCCGTTAGGTTTTTTAAGTAGTTTATTCAGCCGGCTGTCAATCGAGATTAACGAACACCTCGTCGAACCGATGTAGATATTTTTTTCATCCTTACCTACCCGAGCCTTTTGTCAATCATTTCCGAGCAACTCGACGTTGAACGAGCGAGTGTATATAAAAAAAGTCCTCGCGAAAAAGGATGGTGGATTGGATTTCGCGTAAACATGTGTAAAGTTGAGGAAATCGGACGGTTTTGCTGATGGATTTTGTCGTTGATAAAGCGCGCTAATACTGGGTAATAAATACACTAAAAGAGATTTTTTTACTAAATAGTCCGTTAGGTCGAAAATTTCATATGAAAGTATGTCCTTAGAAACTTCGTTTTCGATTAAATACATTAAATTAATCAACACCCTGTTATAGAAGTTGGTTAATTTCGGTCCGAGTGACTAATAAATCGGGCCCACTACACCCCGATGCCCAAATCCCCGTCCCGATTTTATTCATAACAAGAACCGTAGGCGCTGAGTCATGCGCGATTCCGGTCGCCCAAATAAAGAGAAAGGTTTTTCCATTTTCCGGCCAGTGTCGTTCGGTTCGGTCATCTTCTTCATTCCCTTCTTCCGCGATCGCGGCCGTCGATGAGGGAAAAGCGCCCGCCGGCGTTTTGTGTATATATTTTATTTCTCTCCTGTCGGGCGCGATCTGGTTTCGCGATATTTTCGCGGATCTCGCTCTATCGAAGCAGCATTATGTGTTGCTGGCGCTCGATTCGCTCGCGTTACGACGTTACAACGCAGTTTGTTATCGTCGACTGACGAGACGTAATATCCCGAGTATAGTGGCGAAATGTGCGGAGTTTTCGGGTGGAAAGTGCGCGTTTTCTTATAAATGATTCGGTGGTTGAAGTGACGCGAGTTTTCCCGACTCCGAGGAGCCTTTTTTCGGGACGTTCGTCGCGGAAGTTTCGAGGGATTACCGGCATGATATTGGCTTCAACAGGCGAGTTTAGGCGGATGGTTAGGTGTAAAATTTTTATTTGAGTGAAAAGTTGGTTTCTTGACTAATTTAATTATGCTTAGTAGGCTCTTTATTTTTCTTGATTAATTTTTTTCCACATTTTTCTATTGATTATCAATGCTAGATAACGAACTATAATAGTTGTAAATTCTCATCACATCATAGTCACTTTTGTGTACAAAAATATTTTTTTAATTACACAAGAAATCGAAACTTGACGACATGCGATATAAAAATTAAATTGTCTATAAAACAAATATCTGAAAAATCGATATTACAATTACTGATGCATATATTACCAACGAAGATGAAAACCGGATATAATAGGTATCTAATATCGCGATATTCCTGCATTTTCCTTGCAGAAAACAATCCCGTACTGAATAAAAGTGCATGCGGAAATTTGCGAAATACGAGCGCGAAAATAGAGAAAATATCGTTCGAAACGCGATACACTCTACAAAAATCGAGCAACCGGAAATTTACTCTCAAAAACTGTATCGCAAAGTAATTGCGAACATACATCGATAAATATTCCTCCTGCTCGCATGACAAATATAAATTTTATCATCTTCAACGGCGGTAAATCGAATGTAATTAATGCCGGTAGTCGGGCGATCGGGAGCTCATCTTAAATCCCTCGAGAAGAAACGGAATAAGAATAAGCGTGGGCAGGTGTGCCTTTTTCAACAATGGGACAGGTGATGCCGAACAATCGGCCCAAGGGTGGTACCGATGCGACCGAATTCGAAATTTCAAAGCTCTTCCGAAACCGAAATATTTACAAACAGGCGTACTTTTCCTATTTATTTTCCATTTTAGCGTATTTCAACAAAAATAAATTACTATAGGTAATAATAATGTACTAGTATATTGTGCAGTTAAATGGTAACCGCAAAATTCATCGTAATGCTGTAGATGTAGCAATTTTATAGGTACCCAACAATTACAAGTAGTAGGTACCAATAAATTTGCATTTAAATTAATCAGTCGAGAAGAAACGTTTATTGTTTTTTTTTACAAAATTGAAATACGTTAGAGCTATACGAATCTGTTTGTGATCAACATCAACCGGAAGGGGTCATGTATTATATATTTTTTTTACTAAATACCAATAAAGGTCCCTTCCAGGTAGGTTGGTCTCGACGATATATTGTGTGCATCGTTTATTTCTCACGTATATCTTCGGCGCGTGCCTATCCAGCGGTAAAATAAAAACCTCCAACCATAGGCGTAGATCCTCCCGAAATAATCGATAGCCTTAAGGCTAATTTTCGCCGACACCGACTAATCACCGGCGCCTGTTTGTTGTTAACCGTACCGAGGCGTTTAACGAACAACTCATTTCGGCGTGGCCGGCGAAAATCCGGCGTCTGGCTCGCGCGTCGGCGGGAATTTTCCGTCGCGACGCTCCTCCGCTTTAGCCGATGCGGCCGGTTCGTCTGGATAAAGGGAGGAGACGACGCAAAGGTCACGTAGGCAGATGTGCGTCTGCTGGCGCGTCTACCACTGGAAACTCGGGGTGGTTTTTTTTTTCTAAACGCGAAAACTAGAAGGACTTTCGTTTGATTCGATTCTAACAGGGAGATTTATGGGGGTGTATTATCGGTGTGGTTGTGACGCCGATTTTATTTAAAGAGACGTAGAGGATGCTTTAACTTTAAAGGATGTAAGGATGTAAATGATTTCATAATCAAATTAAAGGATTTTTTAATGGTACAAGAAGAAACTAATTTTTAATATTTACGAACTACATTTTTAATAACGTTTTCAACTGAAAAAGAAACAGTTTTGCATCCCTTTAAACGATTAAAACCCATTTGATATTAGGAATTAGGTAAAAGCACACCTTAAAGCTTCTTGAATTAAGAGGAATATTAATCTGACTCCGGTTGTTTCACGGGGAACTGGATTTTGCGATTCGAAAGAACGCGGATCGGTGGAGTTAACTGTTTTTTTCTCGAATTTTACACCGCATTACCTGCCTCTTAACGCATCGCACAAATCTTGGTCTCGGCTCATTTGTTAGCGGAACATCTGCCCGCTCTCTCTGTCGCTCCTCTTTATATGGGCACCCAGTTGTCGTGGAGATATTTTAGAACTTCACCCGCCAGATATAACAGGATTGGATTACCTGTCACAAAAGATGCGGCTCCCGTTGGGTTCGCTGGCTGGTTGAACGAAACTACTCGGGTGGAGTAAACGAATTAATTACGAATTTGTTGGGAGTAGATGTAAAAATAGGTTTGGTTAGTTCGAAAATTTCGGTTGTGGAAGGGTTGGAAAAAAAATAAGGCGAAACGAGCGGTATCTATCATCTTTTGTTTCCCGAATTTCGGCCAGCTGCCTTCAACATCTGTCGTGAAAAAAATAATTTTCGACGGTTGATTTTCTTTGGTAATTATTAACCCGGCCAAAAGAACTTGTCCGATGTAATTAAGTAATGGGATTTCGAATTCCGTTGGTGTGGTCTAAAATAGACCGTTTTTAAACAGAAATCAACTAAAATAAGTCGCTGGATTATTCGGAAAAAAGCGACTAGTGGTCTCGACTAAATCAGCTGTTTTAAGCCAGAAATAAACTATCAAATCTGTAAAAATTTTAATAAGTCTCTTGATTGTTCGGAAAAAGGAGCGGTGTATGTATGCCGAAGGAATCGTTGTTGGATACAATTATTGCTATAAATTCTTTTTATAATTTCACAATACCAAATTTTTTATTGTAATTATATCGGGGCCATTCAACTCGATAAAATACCACATCATTTTAGCTTATAAACCTGTGGCCTCGGCTAATCGGCTATTCAGAACCAAAACGAAACTGTCAAACTTTCGATAAGTCACTTCGATTGTTCGGAAAATGAGTGGTGTACGTAAGTATGCAGAAGGAATCGTTTTGTTGGATACAATTATTGCTATAAATTCGTTTTTTAATAATTTCACGATAGTAATTTTTTTTGTTATAATTTTATACGGGGGCCATTCAACTCGTTAAAATACCTATCGTAAAAATATCTTATAAACCTGTGGTCTCCACTAAATCGACTATTTAGAAACCAAAAGCAAACTGTCAAAACTGTCAAACTTTCAATAAGTCACTTGATTATTCGAAAAAAAAAGCAATCTGTTTATGCAGAAGGAATCGTTGTTGAATACAATTATTGCTATAAATTCGTTTTTTAATAATTTCACGATTCACGATAGTAACTTTTTTATTGTAATTATACCGGGGCCATTCAACTCGTTAAAATGCGTCATAATTTTAGCTTATAAACTTGTGGTCTCGACAAAATCGGCTATTCAGAACCAAAAGCGAACTCTCGAACTTTCGTTGTATATTTTTGCTCTAATATAGGGGCTTTTTTGTATAAAATTCTAGAATATCGTCGCAACATTTTCCGGGAATTGATAATATATGCAACTATTTCGGTCTTAACTAAATAAATTATTTACATAGACGGCGACCTTGGAA